ATCAAAAAAAAAAAAATACCAAAAAAGAGTTTTAACTAAATTAGGACTCTTCCCAAAAATTAAAAAACTCGCTGCTGGACTTGTGTTATGTAACGATCCGGCCTCTCACCGGAGCCGTTATCTTACGTACTGTCCGCTCTGGGGTGGGCTTCTGCCCACTTATCCCCTCACGACTTTCTGATGCGTCCCCCAGAATTCGAACCCAAGACCTCCATCATATGTGAAACTTAAGTTGAATCCTGGCAACGGCTCTAGTGAGAGGCCGGTCGTCCCAATTGGTACCGAAATTCAAGTTAAGTTTCCCATATGATGGATATCTTGGGTTCGAATTTTGGGGGACGCGTCGAAAGTCGTGAGGGGTTAAGTGGGCAGAAGCCCACCCAGAGTGGACAGTAAGTAAGATAATGGCTCCGGTGAGAGGTTGGGTCGTCACATGCTATGCTCCCGCATAGTGTTGGAACATGCGATGCATAGGTCAAAAAAGTTTCACTTTTGATTTCAGTATAGAGGCATGTGGCCGCACCCAGGTTTCCGTCTTGTCTCCAACTTTGAGTTTTTGATTCCATTGCATTCCAACTTATTTTCCGCTCTCATGCCTAACATAGAAATTGATTTTTAACTTGTTAAGCTTGAACAAGTGATTGTATGGCTTCATTGACTTTATTTGATCTCAAATATGCCCTTAACCTGTCCTCAACATACATTGAACCATTGATAGCTTGTTGCCTTTTTTGGATCGAAATAAAAAATATAAAAAAGAAAAATAAATTAAAGAAAATTATAAAAAGAATAAACATGAAAGAAAGAATATAAAAAAATTTAAATTGAAAAAAAATTGATTTTATGATAAACAGAAAACAATTAAGAAATAAAAAATAAATAAATTAAATTAAATAAAATTAAAGACCAAAATAGAAAGGAAAAATAAATTAAAGAGAGTTCTAGTGCTCGTAGAAAGAGGTTGGTTCGTCAGTTTAGCCCAACATAAAATTATAAAAATTAAAGCAAGAATATTAAAAAGTATTTTAAAATGAAAAAAACATTAAATTATAATAAGACGAAACAATTAAGAAATTTTAAAATTATTACAAAAAATAATAGTAATGAAAAAATTAAACAAAAGGAAACTATAAAAATTAATAAAAAATATAAATATTATTTAAAATTGAAAAAATAGATGATAATAAAGAGAAATAATTAATTAAACAGTAAAAAAATAAAGAAAATAAAATAAAAAATCGACCAAAAAAATAAAAATGGAGCTGACTGTTTAAGGCGGTGTCGACACTGTCTTCTCTCATTTCTTTCTATCGTGAAAAATGGTGAAGTCGTAATTTTTGACGATCTTCACCCTAAAAATAGTTAAAACTAATAAAACTAACAATGAAAAATCGCCAAAATTCACAAAAGAATGATGAACAATGAAATAAATAAATGTTAAATTTAATCTAAACCATATTTCATCAATCTCATAATCTACAAAAAAGATAATGTCGTCGGTGACTAATTGTGTGCTGATAGACGTTGGGTTGACTATGAGGGTGGTGTGGTCAAATTATACTCAGAGGTTTTTTCTTTTCCCTCTGTGTGCACATGATGAAGGGTATTTTTGGCTTTTGTCCATGAACTCTTTCTTCTTTTTCCATACCAGAGTTTCAGGCTGTTGGCTATGGCGAAGGAAAAGGAGCTAGACGTTTCGGATCCTTCGTACCTCCACCTGCTCTCTGCATTTCTCGCCATGGAGCCACCCGATGTCGTAATCTCCTTTGCCAGGTCAATTCTCAGACACAAAAACCTCCCATCATGTCATTTTGTTTTCCTATGTTCGTTTAACTAAATCAAAACCATTCTGACACTAGGGAGTGTGGCGGAGATTCAATTACTGAAACAGCGCAGAGCTTCATTTGGCATCACTGTATTAGCAAGGCTGTAAGTATCCAATTATTGAAAAAGTACAAAGATAAAAAGGGTTTTCAAATAATTGTATTCGTTTTCAGGATGTGAAATGGCAGGGGCCTTACTTGAAAAGATTTATCAAGAAGCTCATTGTTGAAATTGAATCGAGTGGCGGTGTAGTTTTGGATGCACTGTACGAGCGGTACGCTTTTTANCCCCCCCCCCCCCCCCCCCCCCCCCCCCCCCCCCCCCCCCCCCCCCCCCCCCCCCCCCCCCCCCCCCCCCGCCCTCGCCCTCTGATACAGTTTGTAGAGAGTAAAAACCCATGTGTGAGTGTATTGTTACTCCGATGCATGAGCAGAGTCTTCTGGAATCTTAAGCTGCTTGAAATCTAGGAAATTGGAGTTCAAACTTCAGTGTTCTCTCAACATGCTCGAAGGAGATACGGGGTAATTCTTCCGTTATTGCATTACATCCCATGTTGTAAATAATTATTTGGTCTCGTAGGGATAAAAACTTGTTTAAAGTATCTTGATTTTAAGTTTGAGAGGCTTATGTCAATTAATTCGGGAGAGGTAAAAACACTTTTCTCTACTTGAGCAGCTGCAAATAGCAGTGAGAAACCTTGATGGCCTTTCACATATCTTCAATAATCGTATGATGTCTTTATTTAATTAACTTGTCACTATAATTCCATCTTTGAGTGATTTCATTTATATGAAACAGACTCTTTGGTTTTTAAGGTAACAGTATATAAATTTATGCATTTTGCCAAGCCATTTTCAGCATATAAAAGTTGATATATTTAATTTTTTTCCTTGCACATTGTCTAAACATTTCATTGTACCACTATGTTCATTATTAGGTGGGTTTCCACTGTTAAGACTCCTGATATAATTTTGCTAGGGTTCAAATGCAGCTAGACACTGCCACATCATATTACCATCTATATCTGGATCTCATTTTCATCCCTTTTGAACTCTATTACTGAAATTCACTTGTTTTTACTGTGTAGGTTCCACCAACTTGTTCTATGGACCCAGATATTTTTACTTTCTTAATTCTACTTAAAGAACCACTGGTTAAGCTTTTACTTTGCATAGTTAAGCTTTTAGTACGAATTACCTTACAACCCTCTCACAAGTTCCTATCAATCCTCCTAATAAAGATGAATCTATTCGGCAAAATTTTGCCCTTGTCTACAAATTATTTGGTGAAACTCTGTTTAAGCATGTATTTGATAACGCCAAATTATATGCCAACAAAAAGTCCAAAAAATATTACCTTTTTCAATTTTGTCCAAAAAGCCTAAATTTTCTTCTACTTATAAATACCCTGAATTTTTCCTTTACCATATTGTTCAATGCAACAAAGACCTTACGTTAACCAGAAATTGCAAGAATCTATCCAGCCATTTTAAAATTGTTGATTTATTTGCCTTATCTAATTCTATTTGCGAAGCATATGCTCTAAATTACACTGATAATCTCTTCTCCTAAACGAAGTCTGATCTATACATAATATAATTATATCCTTGATCCATATTACTTGAATGATCTCATCTTTTAAACCTGATTATTCATACCCTGTTTCAATTCTTTTCCATGCTCGTAAACTAAAGTTTAAATCTCTTGTTGCCTAATTCTTTCACCTTTTCTCCTACTGATTTAACATCTTGTATGCAAGCTATTTTGACTTTCCTCAAGATCCAATACTAATTTTGGACTAAATCTTAACCTGCCTATAATATGTTAAGAGTGCCAGAACCTTAGTTTTTGACATCAGGGTGACTAGCCGCTTCACTTATAGAGAACACCCTAGCAAAACTTGCCAACTTTTTTTTTTGATAATCGTGGATGTTCGGGTCAACTTGCACGCACCTCGACTAATTCCACGAGGCCTAAAGTTTACGGTCGAATATTCACCTCAGTGGCCCTGAGGGGACTCGAACTTGGCAACTTGCCAATTTGTAACTACAATTGTGATTCATTTCAACTTGTCACTCTAGTAGTGGACATTGAAATGAAATATGTTGAAGGATGCACTTCATAAGATGTGTCAGTTTTACATTGTCTGTTAACCTATCACATCCTCTATCTTGTAGGTGGTCTATGAAGAAACATATTGCAGTTCATCATTGATTTTTTGGTTATTGTTTCTAATTTCCTTTAGGTAGTAAATGATTACAATGGAAATGTGGTCTTGATAGCGCTTTTGCAAGTGAATGGCACTCGAACACAATTTATTTATTTATTTTACTGCAACTTATGTAGTTCATTAGACAGACGGTCGTGGTTTCAACTGTTGATTTTCGGGATTTTTCTGAGGGAAAGAGGGAGGGAGAGAGGTTCAAACTAGTTTCAGTAATTGGGGGTAAATGAAGAAAATGTGGTCATCGCCTTTACCAAAAGACCACATTAATAATTATAATAATAATTTCGATTACAAAATAATATAATGGAGAAAATCTCATGCAAACACCCAAATTAGAAGGGGGAAAATAAATACAATAAATTAATTGAGCACTGAAAATTAGGTTAGGAAAAATTTCCTGCCGTTTTGGCTTCCTCTTTCTTCTTTTCTTTCTAATGTCTCATGTTTACATTCTCTTTGATATGGTGGATACAGGTGCTCTATTTGGCCATCAAGTCTTTTCCTGTCAGAATTTATACTTTCTTTCCCAGATATATTCTCAAATAAATGTTGCTTTGAGGTGAGATATGTAGTTTGGTAGTACTTAGTTGTTCTTCCAAGATTTACCTTTTTAGTGGCATTTAATTATTTTAATGGAAACACGAAGCAACTAGTTGTTGTATTTTGTTCTTGACATGTACTTTAAATTTCAGTATATATAGTTGTGGATCTTTGATTTCTAGGATTGTCTCCTTCCCAGAATTTGCTAATTTGATTGACTTCTTAATGTTTAAGATGTGTGTGTATCTGGTTTGCCTGCTTAACAGGTTGGTTCGGGTGTTGGATTGGTTGGCATCTGTCTAGCCCACGTGAATGCCTCTAAGGTAAGCCTCTGCATCTATGCACATGATACTATTATGTTTTTGCCAAGCTTGTAGCAAACTGGTAGGCTTATCTGTAGTTTATAGGTTTCGATTTACCTTTAGGAAGAATATTTATAAAAAAGGATATCAGTCACCACTCATGACCCATTGTTTGGCAGGGAATGATATTTATGTTAGCGTGCTTCCTTAGAATTTTGTTCTTGTGTCTGGTATTATAAAGGTAAATTTTGGGCTAGTAATCACATTCCTTAAAACTAGTGTTGGTAAACGAAATACCATACTGAAATTTTATTGAAAACTCGAACGCCGATTTTTTTACAAATGTATTTACCAGATTCCTTTCTAACTATACTCACATGCTCCATGTACTTCTCCTTCTTTTGATATCGCTTCGTCATCGAGAATCTAGTTATGAATGGACCATAAGCATATTCAGTATTCACTACTCATGGGTCTAGAGTCTTTTTCCCCTCAATAGAATGGCAAACACATTGCTAGAAAAGAGAGAAAAATTAGTGTTAGTTAGGGGTGGGCAAAAAAACCGAAAAACTGATTAAACCGACCGAACCAAACCGAGTCGGGTCGGTTTGGATTGGTTTGAACCAAAAAATCGGTTTGGTTCCGTAAATTTTAACCATTATAAAGTTGGGTTGGTTGCAGGTTAAGTAACCAACCCATCAATTAACCGATTCAACCCGCAAATACATTTTTTTTTTCATTTTAAATTTCATCTTCTTAAACTTTAAAAAAATAAAAATACAAATATAATTCTTTTTTAAATAATTTATTTACAGTCTACGTTTTTTCTACCAAAACTTCAAATTTCGAAAGAAAAGAAAGTACAAAGAAATGTTTATTATCAATTCCAAATTCAGATTGTATCATTGCTTTTCATTTATGGTATAATTGTTTGTTGGTAACTATCGGATATATACGATAATTTTGGAAAAATCAATCAACTACCATTTATATTATATGTAGGGAAAATTACAGCAGCGGTACCAAACTTTTCATTAAATAACAGACTTCATCCAAACCTTTCATTTGTGCCACCCACGATACCAAACCTTTCAAAATATCGCAGCTGAAGTCCAAATGGATGAAAACTGTTAGTTTGATAGTTAGTTGACCAAAAATCAAAAGTCGACCGAATGTTGATCAATTTTTAAAGGGCAAAAATGTAAATATACATTTTCATATGAAAAAAAAATTAAAAACAAGAATTAAATTTCAAAAATGAGAATACCGTTCACCTTCTTGCCCCTCCCCCACCAGGTCACCGTGAGAAAGACCCCGAAAACCAGCGTGAACTTTGTCGGAAAGTCTATTGTGCCCGAACCTTACATTTTCGCCTCTATTTTAGCCTTCCAGACTGCCACCACGGCCCTCGCCCTTGCCCACTCCCTAACTTCCGGCCCAAACTCTACACTGGCCTTCATCAATTCCTCCAACAATACCACAAACACCCTTCTCAAACCACCTAGGTCTGACGGGGAAACCGATCCTCCATCACACAACCCCTCCAGGGCATCCAATCGTCGTACTCTTCCACACGTCCAGCAGCAAAACTTGGATCCCAGTCTGTTCTCTGTATCGCTCAATTATGTACTTCCTCAAACTCATCCCATCCATCTACTCGCCAAATGACTTTAATTCAGCTCGAGCCAGAATCGAGTCCTCGTAGACCAAATCTTTCAGTTTCTTGCGTTTAAATTGGTTTGGGTCTGCAACTATTCGAGCGATTGGAGAGTTGAAATTTTTTCCAGCAAAATCTATTGAATTGAAGAAAAATACGAGTTGAGGTGGAAGAGAACGAGGAGGTGGGATGGGGTAGATTTTTAATTTTAATTATTTGATTTTGGTTTTTTTATTATGAAAAATGTAAAATTACCATTTTAACATTTTAAAATCAGTCAAAATCAATTATTTGATCAACTAAAGGTCAAACTAAAAGAAACCATCCATTTGGACTTCAACTGCAACATTTTGAAAGGTTTGATACCGTAGGTGGCACAAATGAAATGTTTGGACAAAGTGCCATTAAATGAAAGGTTTGGTAACGCTGCTGCAATTATCTCATATATCTTTCTATATATAAAAAGTGTCTATTTAACGAAATTTGTTGGTTTAACAGAAAAACTAACGGAATTTGTTGTTTTAATGGATTATGTAACGGAATTTCTTGTTTTAAACAGGCACCTGCACATTCTTTCAGTATTTTTATCATAACTTTGTATTCCGATATCCGATTGAGGCGATTCAAAATGCGTTGGAAAGCTAACTCATCTGGCTACAACTTTGATTCAGACATCATTCTCCAATTCGATCACTTTCTATGCCAAAAATAG